ACAGTGGGACACGCGCAGCGGCGATATTGTACAAGAATATGATCGCCATTTGGGTGCCGTTAACACAATCACATTCGTTGATGAGAACCGACGTTTCGTCACTACCTCTGATGACAAATCAATGCGAATTTGGGAATGGGACATACCAGTGGATATGAAATACATAGCCGATCCCACAATGCATTCGATGCCGGCTGTAACGCTTGCGCCAAATGGCAAATGGTTGGCATGCCAGTCACTAGATAATAAAATCGTTATATTTTCTGCGTTAAACCGTTTCAAAATGAATCGGAAAAAGACTTTCAGCGGACATATGGTTTCCGGTTATGCATGTCAATTGGATTTCTCGCCAGATATGAGTTACTTAGTAAGCGGTGATGGTGATGGAAAATGTTATATTTGGGATTGGAAAACGACAAAAATGTACAAAAAATGGCAAGCCCACGAGGGTGTCTGTATCAGTACTATGTGGCATCCGCATGAAGCGAGCAAAGTAGTAACAGCTGGATGGGATGGTCTTATCAAATACTGGGATTAGGTGAGATGTTTTACGGATACGTACATTTCCAAGGAAAGAGCGTTAAATACCTCCTAATCACTACTATTGAAATAGTTTTATGTCATAGTAATAAATATTTAAAATGATAAAAGAAACTTGTTGACACTTAGTATGTATGTTTGTATGTAATTCAAATAAGTAAATGGGCGATGCATACATGTAAAAAAACTTACTAACTGCTCTTTAAGTGAAATAATATAGATACATTACGTTCAGGCGAAGGAATCCAAACTCAGTGGCTTTACAAAAAAAAAAAATATAAATTACCCAAATGATGCACAATAACATGGTTACATAGGATTGATGGCATTTGTTTAAAGAGTAGATATAATAGTATATTCCATGGAATTATTTTACTGTTGTATGCATCCTTACTCAATAACAATAGTAACAATATTTTGCCCTCAAACCGTCTGATGTTTAGTATGTGCTGAGGCGATGGTGCCGCCCGGCATTTTTTCACTGTACACACACACATATATATGTATATGGTTTTTAATTTGTTTACAAACAAATATTCCTCGGAAAAGCCATGTGCTTAGATTCCATGCAGCACCGCTGATAACAGCGGAGTCTGCGCACTGTGCCCACAACAACTGTCAAATATTATATGGTAAACGACACCCCAATTGCTATACTAAACAGGCAATCGTCCACCATATGTGTATAGTCTACAAAGTGAAAATAATCGATTTTAACCGCCGCTAAGATTTTCCATGAAAGTTATTGAAAATTTTTACAAAAACCATATCTCATATTAATCATTGCTAATTTAAAGTGGCTCCGCAACTAATTTCGGCTAATTTTTATATAAATTTCTTTCTGAAGACCGGAATTAGTAAAATCTGTAAAATGTAGCGGTTGGAAATCGTCGCTGGAGCTTTCGATTAAGTCACATACAATTTTGAAGTGAAAGTGAAAATGAAGTAAATAAACACTGTGCTTATCTAAAAATCTCGCCCACTTAGAAATTTTTGAAAATATAAAATTCAATCGAGCTTTACTGCAAATCGCTTAGATACCTAAACAAAAACCTTTCACATTACCCTTACCCCCATCATCGTAAATTAGAATAACATTGGCAAAGCGCACTCAACACCACGAGTCCAAAAAAAAGTCAAGTCAATATCGGTCATTACAATCACAACTGCCAACAGCACCAAGAACCACATCTTGACCTTCACTATCACCGTCCTACATCGGCCAACACTTACACCAACACCATCCAAAAAGAAAATCTTACATTGCTATCGCTACTGTTCTAGATAGAAATAGTTATCCAAACAGCACCTACGTCTGTCTATAAGCGCTGCCACAATGTCCAAACCACCCACAGACACATCGGGTCTGGGTTATTCATATCATCTGCCATCTGGTGGTTTACTCTTACGTCTCAAGAATTCCCTCTCACAATTTAGCGATTTATTCAGTGAGTTCAACAGATATATTGCACCGGCCTACCATCATGACCGGTGCGAACGTTCGGTGCATATGCGCCTCTATTCGATGCAGAAACGTGAATTCGTTATGGTATTTTTGGGATTTCTCATCTGTTTCGGTTTGGCCATTGTAATTGGTCTCACCGGACCTCCTATTACTAGCACATCAGAGATCACAACCAAGAGTATATTGGCGAATACTTCGCTTGCTAACAGTAATACAGTGCTAGCTACTGGGCCATTTGCGATGAAGTCACCACTGATGACCACATACTCTCAACAACTGTGGCTGATTGCCAAATTGGTAACAGACAACAATGATGGTAAGTAGAGAGGCGATATGGTAAATCGACTTGACCTAATATTTTTTGTATTTTCTTCCGATTTTAGATGAAAAGTATGATAAAAGTTTTCAAGTGAGCGTCGCCATAGATGGAATTACCGAACAACATAAACCACTGAGTATTCTAATCGCAGATTTGGTGCGTAATCGTACGCGTCACTTATCTTGCATACGGAACGATTGTGAGGAGTTTACAATTCTGCATTTGGGTTTTCTAGAATATGCACACTATATCATCACTGTACGCTTCTATGGGTTGGGGACATTCCACCAGAAGTACAATATACGGAGTATAACCTTTTACGTAAGTCTTGGAAGATAGATCTTTTTTTGTTTTCATCTACTACATTTTTATTATAACGGGTTTGAAATTGTTTTTATAATTCGTTATTCTCTCTATTTGTTTTTATAGTTCAAAACTTACAGTCCCGAATTTACACAAATCGAAATATGGTTCCGTTTCATATTTCTCCTCTTCACTTTCATCGTAATCGTAAGTTAAAATTAAAGCTAGAACATTTATTTAATTTAAAAGTATTCACTTATCTGGCTTTTAACGTCCATAGTGCTGGTATGCTCACACTCTGCGCAAGTATCCTATCTACGATTGGTCAATCGAACAGAAATGGATGTCATTACTGCTGCCGCTGCTCCTGTTATACGATAGTAAGTTGCATGCATTATTAATCACATAATGTTAAAATAATTAATACCAACCATTTCTTTTCACAGACCCCTTCTTTCCATTGATTTTCCTAATGAACTCTTGGTTTCCCGGCATGTTAGATGCTGTGCTGCAGGCCACATTCCTATGTTCGTTGCTGATGTTCTGGCTTTGTATATATCACGGTTTGCGTCAAAACGAAAGACGTTTTATGCGTTTCTACCTGCCAAAGATCATCGTTATACTACCAATATGGTTGTGTGCTATTGTCTTAGCTACATGGGAGAAATGCAATGAACTGCGCGATCCCACCTACAGCCACTTTGTGGACACGCGAAATTACAATGTTTGTTTGCATGTTTACTATATTTAAATGCAATGTTCATTGTACTTACATATTTATGTTTCAGGGTTTCAAGTTGTTCTTCTACATTGCTGGCTGTATGTACATACTATATCTAGCCTTATTAGTCTTACGCGCTTATACTGAGCTCAGATCGATGCCTTACTTTGGTAAATGTGTTTGACTATCATGTACCGTAAAAAGTTTTATATTTTTCCCCCTTATCTTAATACTAGATATGCGTTTGAAATTCTTGACGCTTTTAATGCTCTTCGTCATCTCCATAACTATAATAGTCACAACACGTCGCTTTGGCTTCGGCATATTAGAGGACAATTTCGTGGCCACACTCAATACCACCTATCATAGCTCGGCGCAGTTTATGTGTTTCTATGGTCTTCTGAATTTTTATCTATTTACCATGGCATATGTATACTCCCCAAATGGACGATTTTCTCAAGGTGAGCTAGCTAGTCGAAACGGGCTGAAGAATATATGAAAATCCTTCAATTTTTCCAGAGATCTCTGTTACCAAAGATAATCCCGCATTTTCGATGATAAACGACTCTGATGAAGAAGTTGTATATGGCTCCGAGGACGAGTCACGTCGTCCTCTCACTGTTGGTAACAAAAATGATTATGACAGCGATTAAAACAGCATATTTTCTTAATTTGCTATATTTACTACATATATAAAACTAGACAGTCTTAGCAAACAATAATTTATTGGTAGTCAAAGATATAAGAATAACTTCGATTTTATATACCGTTAGTATCTTTAACTTTTTTCGTATCAGTTGTTTGCTATGCACAAAATAATATTTTTTCATATCTATCATTTAACTACTTTTGTAGTATGTTTAATTTCCAATTAGTTAGTCTTTTCAGCTAGGCGTTAAAATTTGAATTTCGTATATGAACTATCTCCCTCCCCCCTTTTACTTTGTATTTTCCAATTAAAATTTAACTGTAACTCGCTACAACAAGAGTATTCGAAATAGCCCTTTAGTTCGCTTTCAAATGCACACTCATAAAAAATCGAAACCAATGCAATTTTTCTTATCTTTAAATAAGTCTGTTTTATTCATATGTATATATATATATATGTACGTTTACATATCGATGGTCCTCTGCAATAACGACACAATTCAAAATTCAAAAATTAAAAACTTGTTACTGTTAAGCTGCTAACGTCTCTAATCCCCTTGTCTTATCCTTACTAATTACAGCAGCAATCGGAAAAGGATTAGGGAGAGTTTTTTATTTTTTCAATTTTGAATTGTGTCGTTATTGCAGAGAACCATCGTATACATATGTAAGTATGCATGTTCTTGCAGTATTTAATTTACTTTTATTATTCTACCTTTTTTTCTTTCTTTGATTGTTTTGTCTACATACTTCTTTAATTCGAACTTTATCTTCTCCGTAAGAAGATATATTTTAACAAACCATTTTTATTAGTTTTAATAACATCTGAACTCTAATATGTACTATAATTAGCATTCACATTTTATTAACTGTGGGACAAGTTGTATAATAGTTCATTTCCACCAAACCTAACTGCAATGTAAGCCTATTGAAAAATGGAAATTACAACTTGAAGGGGATATATCGATGGATGAGTGGAAGATCGACCTATCTCGGAAGCCAGTTCAAAAACACCCTGTCTCAGAAAATTTTTCAAGAACGCCCTACTTCAAAGTTTGATTGAAAAACGCCCTATTTCAGAATTTGGTTGAATAACGCCCTATTTCAGAATTCATAACAAAAACGCCCTATCTCAAACGAAAATACATTGAAAATAAGCTGAGATAGGGCGTTTTTGAATCGGCAGCTGAGATCGGGCGTTTTTCAATGAAATTCTGAAGTCGGGCGTTCTTGAAAAGTTTTCTGAGATAGAGCGTTGTTAAAAAATTTTCTGAGATAGGGCGTTTTCGAACTGGTTGCCGGAATAGGTCGATCTTCCTCTCAGCCATCGATATGCTCATGTCAAGTACAAGCAAACGAAAGTAAAAAGGCAAAAAGTAAGCAATAAACTCTGCCGATCACCCCATGGGAAAATTATTGCAACTTATTTGACCTCTTAACTGCAGTTAAGCTTTTGATTAAATAGGCCATAAAATAACAGGACATACACTACTATATATTCAGAAATTGTTTATTATAATGTTCAATAGAGAGATTAGGGCTGTTCAGCATCTTGTGCATATGCTCTTGAATTTGCATATTCGTTGCATTTGTAAATTCATAACAATAAAATGCACACGGGTGCCATGGCAGCCAGCATAAACTTTGCAAATGCAATTCCAACTGCAAATCCCAGACCATTTCCACAACATCCTGAACAGCCCTATTATGTAATGAAGCATTCAAAAAGTAAAATACTATACTTTACTGCAACTACAAACAAAAAATACGATGCAAAATTAAGTTATTAATAAAAAAACATCTACAAGCAGATATATAACCTAGTTTTCTTAGAGAGACAACCAACCTTATCACAATGGAAGGAGGGCCTGAATTCCAAGTAGACTATCTTGGCGGTGTTTGTGGACCTTAAGAGAGCCTTCGAGACAGCAGTAGATATTGGTGTACCACAAGGGTCGGTGCTAGCTCCAATACTCTTTAATATTTATATCACCGACATAAACTCAGTATTGAAATATTGTAAGGTAAAATTGTTCGCTGACGATGCCGTTTTAACCCTCACTGACAGTAATCTACCCAAGGCAATAAACAAAACAAAAGAAGACCTTCATTGTTTGTGGTTGTGCGTAAACAGACTCCAATTAAATGTGAACAAGACAAAGTTTATGGTCATAGCATAAAAATTAAAGATGACGTAATTGAGAAAGTGAGAATTATTAAATATCTAGGTATCGATGAAAAGTTAAAATTTGAGGAACATATTGACTACACGGTAGCAAAGATTGCGAAAAATTGGTCTCATGAACAGATCATGTAAGTACTTAGGAAGGAGGTATAAAACTCTGGTCTACAGATCTATAGTTGAACCACATTTCATATACTGTCCAACAGTCTTTTTTATAGTAACATCAGCCATACAGGAAATGATCGCAGAATTAAACTGGCTGATTCTGAAACAGCAAATGTTTTATCACGCTATGAAATTCGTGTTTAACGTTAAAAAAGGTAGACTTCCAGATTAGCTGAGTGATATACTACGATATAATAGCTCTGATCCAATACTTTTGGTGTAAAATCCTGTAAAAATGTCAAACAGCAAAACTGTTCTCTGAAGTGAGAGTAAAAAGTGAGTAACAACAAAAAGTACGGGAACAAAAAAAAAAAAGAAAAAACGTCAACCAGTGGCCGCTTAATCTCTGCACAACTCTTCAACAATCGCTCTCACTTACAGGATTTTGGAGGATTTAGGAACACGGGATTTTTTTTCCTGAAACTTTCTGCAAGTTCGTGTAAAAACCTGTAAGTTCATCGAGTACTGGATCGGAGCTATTAGTGAAACCCATTCATATTTACTCAGGGAAAATAAAAGCTTCAGGATGCCGCTGTATAAAACGGAAATAGATAAGAACATCTTTTATAAGGGATTAAAATGTTACAATGAACTTCCAGCTCAAATAAAAAATTGTGAAAACGTTGGTACCTTCGAAAGGCTGCTACTTGATCACTGTAGAACATTGGCTATTAGATAAAAAGTTCCGGCGTGGAAACTAGTCCTTTGCATCCGTAATAGCTGAATGACTCTGGATCTCGTCCATTCAGATCACCCATAATGAATGAAATAGAAAGGTCGGCATGGCAACTAGTCCTTTTCGTCGGATCAAATAGCGCGACTCTGGATCTCGTCCATCAGATCACCTGCCGGTAGAGAAGTCTATAAAAGGCGGCTTGGAAACTAGTCCTTTCCAACCGCCCAGTTGTGGCGGCTCTGGATATAACACTCTTAGTCCTACGTGATATATTTACGGTACTGCTTAGAATCACGTCCATTCCAACAGCAACGAGAATATGCTATCTTAGTTAATTATACATAAACTATTTTATAGCTAGAAGGAAAGGCGTAACAGGTTAACTTATTTTAAACTTTAATTTTAATTTTACTTTTATTATATATTAATTTTGAAATACTTATTTCAAATGTATATACGTGATTATATGAATATATGTAGGTCAAATGACCGTAATAAATAAATAAATGTTAGCAAAACCTAACTTAAAAATTCTATTAAACGGATGTTGCTAATATTTGGACAGCCGAAATTTAACGCAAGGAAGCGTGCAGCTTCTGTGGGGTTTGTCCACAGGGACAAGGCCGTTAGGGTTGTCGGCTTTTCCGGGCATGCGAAGAGATGTTTCGAGTCATGTGGGGTCTCTCCGCATGCCGGACACTCATTCGGCACATCCTCATTCAACCTACTCAGGTAGGAGTTTAACCAGCTGCAGTAGCCGGAGCGAAGTTGTGCAAGTCTTGTGCGAGTCTCCCGAGGCCTAGAACGGCATTCACAGGTCTAGAGTCTACATAACTCGAGACTGAGTCCCTGTGAATGCCGTTCAGGGCCTGTCGGTAAGCTGTCGGGTCCAGAGGTTGCTTTATGAACCTCTGAACTTCGTCTGTCGGTTCATATAGATACCTCCTGACGTGCCTAGCCGAGGGCTCCTCTGCAAGCAGCTGTCTGCTTGGGTGGCCACTTCTGTGGCTCCCGATCTGGAACTGCTTGCAGAGCATTATATTGTGCTCCTTTACGGGGAGCATTTGCGCCTCGCCGTGTAGATGGTGTTCGGGCGACATCAGGAGGCATCCTGTCTCTGCCCTGAGTGCGGTGTTCTGTACAGTCTGTAGCTGCGTCCACTACGTCCTACTAGTCCCTGGCGACCACACTGGCGCCGCGTAGTTCAAAACCGGCCTATTGCCTTGTATGTTGCCAGCAACGTTTCTTTGTCTTTGCCCCAAGTACTGCCGGCTAGCGACTTGAGG